TCTGTGTGCCAAGTTTGGTTCAATTCCATCATTGGTGGCGTTCAGAATGCTCTTTGATTGTAGGTGAACTATAAATCCCACCACTACAACTCCCAAATGTCAAGGTCTATTTTCCCCAAACTGCACCAGTGTTCACATTTGGGCATATTGAGTATCCATGCCAAGTTTGCTCCAGATCCATCATTGTTTGTAGTCCACAGTGCTCTCTGGATGTAGGTGAACTACAAATCTCATACTCAAAGTCGATGTCCACCAAACCCTTCCAGTATTTTCTGTTGGTCATGGGAGTTCTGTATGCCAATTTTGGTTCAATTCCATAATTGGTGGGGTTCAGAATAATGTTTGATTGTAGGTGAACTATAAATCCCACCAACTACAACTCCCAAATGTCAAGGTCTATTTCCCCCAAACTGCACCAGTGTTCACATTTGGGCATATTGAGTATCCATGCCAAGTTTGGTCCAGATCCATCATTGTTTGAGTCCACAGTGCTCTCTGGATGGGGGTGAACTACAACTCTCAAACTCAAAGTTGATGTCCACCAAACCCTTCCAGTATATTCTATTGATCATGGGAGTTCTGTGTGCCAAGTTTGGTTCAATTCCATCATTGGTGGAGTTCAGAATGCTCTTTGATTGTAGGTGAACTATAAATCCCACCAACTACAACTCCCAAATGTCAAGGTCTATTTTCCCCAAACTGCACCAGTGTTCACATTTGGGCATATTGAGTATCCATGCCAAGTTTGCTCCAGATCCATCATTGTTTGTAGTCCACAGTGCTCTCTGGATGTAGGTGAACTACAAATCTCATACTCAAAGTCGATGTCCACCAAACCCTTCCAGTATTTTCTGTTGGTCATGGGAGTTCTGTATGCCAATTTTGGTTCAATTCCATAATTGGTGGGGTTCAGAATAATGTTTGATTGTAGGTGAACTATAAATCCCACCAACTACAACTCCCAAATGTCAAGGTCTATTTCCCCCAAACTCCTCCAGTGTTCACATATGGGCATATTGAGTATTCATGCCAAGTTTGGTCCAGATTCATCCTTGTTTGAGTCCACAGTGCTCTCTGGATGTCGGTGAACTACAACTCCCAAACTCAAGGTCAAGGTCCACCAAACCCTTCCTGTATTTTCTGTTGGTCATGGGAGTTCTGTGTGCCAAGTTTGGTTCAATTCCATCGTTGGTGGAGTTCAGAATGCTCTTTGATTGTAGGTGAACTATAAATCCCAGCAACTACAACTCCCAAATGTCAAGGTCTATTTTCCCCAAACTCCACCAGTGTTCACATTTGGGCATATTGAGTATCCATGCCAAGTTTGGTCCAGATCCATCATTGTTTGAGTCCACAGTGCTCTCTGGATGGAGGTGAACTACAACTCTCAAAGTTGATGTCCACCAAATGATGGCTCATGAGGTCTCTTTCTATTGATCATGGGAGTTCTGTGTGCTAAGTTTGGTTCAATTCCATCATTGGTGGATTTCAAAATAGTCTTTGATTGTAGGTGAAGGAACTGAGGAACTGTTTTAAGGAGTCATGGCATTAGGAAGGTTGAGAACCACTGATCTAAGCCCTCCTGAAAGACGGACATCCGGCCTCTGCTTAATACTAGGATGTCAAAGCTAGTCCACCATGAGTCTGGGATATGACTTTTTGGTCCTTGGTGGGTGTCAGTGCTCTCTGGCTGTGGGAGAACGACATCTCCCAGCATCTTCTGTCAACCCCCCAACCCCCAAACTCCCACCAGTATTTAAATTTGATCATGATGAGTATGGGTCTCAAGTTTGGTCCATACCCATGGTGGGTGGGGTTCACAGGGCTCTCTGGCTGTAGGTGGACTACAATTCCCATCATCCTAAGTTAATTTTCCTCAGCCCCACCAGTATACATTGTGAGTGGGGTTCACACTGCTCTCTGGATGTGGGTGAACTACATCTCACATTATCCTGAGTCATTTGCCTTCAACCCCACCAGTATCCATCGTGAGTGGGGTTCACAGTGTTCTCTGGCTGTATATGGACTACAACTCCCATCACCCTGAGTCCATTTTCCTCAAACTCACCAGAATCCATTCTGAGTTAGGCTCACAGTGCCCCCTTGATGTGAGTGGACTACAACTCCCATTATGCTGAGTCATTTTTCCTCAACCCCACCAGTATCCATCGTGAGTGGGGTTTACAGTGCTGTAAAGCAGACTACAGAGTTTCAGAGTGCTCTCTTGATGTAGGCGGACTACAACTCCCATCATCCCCTGTCAATTTCCCCCAACTTCACCAGTGTCCATTGTGGATGAGGCTCACAGTGCTCTCTGGAAGTGAGTGGACTACAACTCCCATCATTCTTGGCATAAATTTGACACCGAACTCCAAAACTCTGGATGATCTTTCCCAGCGGCTTCATGTAAATGTTAAACAGTGTGGGGGACAGAATTGAACCCTGTGGGACCCCACAGACCACCAATGAGGGAGTCGAACAGGAGGCCCCCAGCTCCACTATCTGGGTCCAACCCTCGAGGAAGGACCGGAGCCACCCAGTCATAGCATCATAGCATCATAGAGTTGGAAGATGGCCATCTGTCAGGATGGCATAGATGGTGACTCCCTTTACGGCAGAAACGGGGTAGGACTGGATGGCCATCTGTCAGGAGGGCTTAGATGGTGTCTCCCTTTACGGCAGATATGCGGTAGGACTGGATGGCCATCTGTCAGGAGGACTTAGATGGTGTATCCCTTTTTGGAAGATATTTGGTAGGACTGGATGGCCATCTGTCAGGAGGACTTAGATGGTGTATCCCTTTTTGGAAGATATTTGGTAGGACTGGATGGCCATCTGTCAGGAGGGCTTAGATGGTGTCTCCCTTTATGGCAGAAATGGGTGAAGGACCAGATGTCCATCTGTCAGGAGGGCTTAGATAGTGTCTCCCTTTACGGCAGAAATGGGGTAGGACTGGATGGCCATCTGTCAGGAGGGCTTACATGGTGTATAGCTGAAACGGTGTAGGACTTGATGGCCATCTGTCAGGAGGGCTTAGATGGTGTCTCCCTTTATGGCAGAAACGGGGTAGGACTGGATGGCCATCTGTCAGGAGGGCTTAGATAGTGTCTCCCTTTACGGCAGAAACGAGGTAGGACTGGATGGCCATCTGTCAGAAGGGCTTAGATTGTGTATAGCCGAAACTGTGTAGGACTGGATGGCTATCTGTCAGTAGGGCTTAGATGGTGTCTCTTTTTACGGCAGAAACGGGGTAGGACTGGATGGACATCTGCCAGGAGGGCTTAGATGGTGTATAGCCGAAATGGTGTAGGACTGGATGTCCATCTGTCAGTAGGGCTTAGATGGTGTCTCCCTTTATGGCAGAAATGGGGTAGGACTGGATGGCCATCTGTCAGAAGGGCTTATATGGTGTCTCCCTTTATGGCAGAAACAGCGTAGGACTGGATGGACCTCTGTTAGGAGGGCTTAGATGGTGTATAGCGGAAACGGTTTAGGACTGGATGGCTATCTGTCAGTAGGGCTTAGATGGTGTCTCCCTTTATGGCAGAAACGGGGTAGGACTGGATGGCCATCTGTCAGGAGGGCTTTATGGCAGAAATTGGGTAGTACTGGATGGCCATCTGTTAGGAGGGCTTAAATGGTGTCTCCCTTTATGGCAGAAATGGGGTAGGACTGGATGGCCATCTGTCAGGAGGGCTTACATGGTGTATAGCTGAAACGGTGTAGGACTTGATGGCCATCTGTCAGGAGGGCTTAGATGGTGTCTCCCTTTATGGCAGAAACGGGGTAGGACTGGATGGCCATCTGTCAGGAGGGCTTAGATAGTGTCTCCCTTTACGGCAGAAACGAGGTAGGACTGGATGGCCATCTGTCAGAAGGGCTTAGATTGTGTATAGCCGAAAGTGTGTAGGACTGGATGGCCATCTGTCAGTAGGGCTTAGATGGTGTCTCTTTTTACGGCAGAAACGGGGTAGGACTGGATGGACATCTGCCAGGAGGGCTTAGATGGTGTATAGCCGAAATGGTGTAGGACTGGATGGCCATCTGTCAGTAGGGCTTAGATGGTGTCTCCCTTTATGGCAGAAATGGGGTAGGACTGGATGGCCATCTGTCAGGAGGGCTTATATGGTGTCTCCCTTTATGGCAGAAACAGCGTAGGACTGGATGGACCTCTGTCAGGAGGGCTTAGATGGTGTATAGCGGAAACGGTTTAGGACTGGATGGCTATCTGTCAGTAGGGCTTAGATGGTGTCTCCCTTTATGGCAGAAACGGGGTAGGACTGGATGGCCATCTGTCAGGAGGGCTTTATGGCAGAAATTGGGTAGTACTGGATGGCCATCTGTTAGGAGGGCTTAAATGGTGTCTCCCTTTATGGCAGAAATGGGATAGGACTGGATGGCCATCTGTCAGGAGGGCTTTATGGCAGAAATGGGGTAGGACTGGATGTCCATCTGTCAGGAGGGCTTTATGGCAGAAATGGGGTAGGACTGGATGGCCATCTGTCAGGAGGGCTTTATGGCAGAAATGGGGTAGGACTGGATGGCCATCTGTCAGGAGGGCTTAGATGGTGTCTCCCTTTATGGCAGAAACTGGGTAGGACTGGATGGCCATCTGTCAGGAGGGCTTAGATGGGGGGTTGGTGGGAAAATAGTTTCCCATTCAGCCCAGAAGAAAAAGAAAGCAGCTGATGTATATAAACACTGGACTCAGCAGCCCCATTCCACGCCCTTATAGGGGGAGAGAGGTCTGGACTGTACCACATTGGGAAAGGGGGGGAGTAGGTGGGGTTGGGACAACAGAGGCGGTGGGGACCACCATTCAGGCGAAGGGTTGAATGGGAAAGGGGGTGCCAAGCATTGTCATGCCATTGTCAAACCAAGGAAAGAAAAGAGAGTTTGTGTTAACCCCCCCTGTTTATAAAAACCCCTCCCTTTCTCTCTGTTCCCCCCTCTGTCGCTGAATGGTCTCTCCCAGATGCTCTATTTAATCCCAGCGACTGCAGCATCTCTCCTGCTTCTGCTTTGGCGTCCAGAGAGGCATCTTTGCTCTATCTTTTGGCCACTGCGGTGGGGCTTCGGAGGCAGAGGCAGACCCCCCTGAATAGATCCCTTCCTGACATATCCCCCCCATTATTGGGGGTCCCGAGCTGGAGAGAGGGGTCTGGGAAGACCCAAGCTCAGGAAGGAGGCGAGAAGGAGCATCCTCCCAGAAGAACGCTCCCTTGCTCTGCCATCCTTCCCTTTCCCCCTTCCCCAACCCATCCTAGCAGAGATGTTATCCCGGTTTTGGAGCGCGTTGGTGCTGCTGGGCTGCCTCTGGATCGTGGCCACCCGAGGCAACCTCTCCCGCGACCGTGAGTCTCTTCTATTTGCCGGCAAAAGAGGAGGAGGATGGAATAGAGGAGGAGGAAGGGGCAGGGGCGGGTTGGGGGTGGCCCCGCTTTGACAAAGGGGTGGGGGCTCTGGAAGGGAAAAGGGAGCCTTGCAAGACCCTTCCCTTCCATCCTCTGAATCTGAGCTCTCCCTCTGGTTGGGATATTGAAGTCATGTTTACCTTCATAGGCATGGAGATAGCCCTATAGAGGAGGGTCTTTGGGGGCTGGATCTGGGCCAGGGATGATGGGGGGGGGGGGGGGGGGGGGGGGCAGCTACACAAACACACATATATATACATACACACACACACATATATATACATACACACACACATTTATACACACACACACATATATATATATTTACATATACACATATATGTATACATATATATATGTGTGTGTACATATATGTATATACATATGTGTATATATGCATATACATATATATGGGAGTGTATTTATACATGCATAAATATCCAAACAGGTTTACAAACATGATATATGTATATGTGTGTGTATTTGTGTGTGTGTATGTATGTATGTATATATATATATATATACACACACACACTCACATATACACATATATATGGGTGTGTATCTATAAATACATAAATATCCAAACTGGTTTACAAATATATGTATATTTGTGTGTATTTGTATTTGTGTATATATAGACCTATATGTATTTATGTATACATATATGTGTGCATACATACATGAATATGCATATATGTGCATATACATACATAAATATCCAAGTAGGTATTCAAACACATGATATATGTATACACACATGTTTTATATGCATACATATATGTATATATATATATATATGTATACATAACCATATATGTGTATGTATATACATACATAAATATACATATACATATATTTGTGTGTACATACATAAATATCCTAATAGGTATACAAATGCATGATATATGTGTATTTGTGTATATATATGTATACACATATATATATACACACACACACATATCTATATATATATATACGCACATACATACATATACATATATGTATACATATACATTTATATGTATTTATAAATTAAAAATAATAAATAAATAAATATGTGTGTGTATACGTACATAAATATCCAGATAGATATACAAACGCATGATATATGTATATGTGTGTATGTGTGTATATATGTATATACACACGTATACGTATATACACATATACATATTTTATATACATATACATATATGTATACATATATATTTATATATGTGTGTATACATACATAAATATCCAGATAGATATTCAAACACATGATATATCTATATGTGTGTGTATTTGTGTATATATGTATATACACACATATATGTATATACACCTATACATAATTTATATATACATATATGTATACATATACATTTATATATGTGTGAATACATACATAATATCCAGATAGATATACAAACACATGATATATCTATATGTGTGTGTATTTGTGTATATATCTATATGTATACATATACATATTTATATACATATATACATATAAATGTATGTACACACATACATAAATATACATATAAATGTGTATGTATATATACTTATTTATTTATTTATTTATTTATATTATTTATATTCCGCCCATATCAACCCGCAGGCGACTCAGGGCGGACATATACATATACATATACATATACATATACATATACATATACATATACATATACATATACATATATATATATATATATATATATGTTTGCACATACATACATACATACGTAGAAATACACATATACATAGACCTCACTACCTCTGAGGATGCTTGCCTTAGATGCAGGCGAAACGTCAGGAGAAAATGCCTCTAGAACATGGCCATATAGCCCGGAAAAACCTACAACAACCCAGTGATTCCGGCCATGAAAGCCTTCGACAATACACATATACATATATCATGTGTTTGTATACCTACTTGGACCGGAGAAAGGAGGGTCTTTCGGCACTGGACCTGCAAGTCTTATTGATACGCCTTGGTATATATTGATACGCCTTGGTATATATTGATACGCCTTGGTATATCTATTGTCTTTTGGAACTGGACTTGCAATTCTGATTGATATGCATTGGTTAGGTTGAGGAAAAGAGGGTCTTTCGGCACTGGACCTGCCATTCTTCATGATATGTGTTTGTATATCTATTTCGATTGAGGAAAGGAGGGTCTTTTGGCACTGGATCTCCAATTCTGATTGATATCTGCTTGTATATATCTATTTAGTTTGGGGAAAGAAAGGTCTTTTGGAACTGGACACGCACTTCTTATTTCTATGTGCTTGAGTCTGGGGATAGGAGGGTCTTTCGGTTGTATTTCTATGTGCTTGAGTCTGGGGATAGGAGGGTCTTTCGGTTGTATTTCTATGTGCTTGAGTCTGGGGATAGGAGGGTCTTTCGGTTGTATATCTATTTAGATTGAGCAAAGGAGGGTCTTTCGGCTCTGGACCTGCCGTTCTTATGTCTCTGTGTTTGTATATCTATCTGGGTTGGGGAAAGGAGGGTCTTTTGTTTGTTAATCTATTTAGATTGAGGAAAGGAGGGTCTTTCAGCACTGGACCTGCAAGTCTTGTTGATATGCATTTGTATATCTATTTAGATTGGTTCTGGAGCTGCAATTCTTATTTCTATGAGTTTGTATGTCTATTTAGGTTGAGGAAGGGAGGGACTTTTGGCACTGGACCTGCAGCTATTGATATATATATATATATATATATATATATATATATATATATATTCCTCTTTGTATTGATATTTGTATATCTATTTGAACTGGGGATAGGAGGGTCTTTCTGTACTGCCTTTGCAATTCTTGATATATATTATAATAATAAATGATATTATATTTATATTCTTACTGATCTGCATTTGTATATCTATTTAGGTTGAGGAAACTGGACCTGCAGTTATTGACATCTATATATCTCTTTGTCTTTGTATTGATATGTGTATATCTATTTGAATTGGGGGTAGGAGGGTCTTTCTGTATTGGAGCTACAAGTCTTGAGATATATATATATATATATATATATATATATATATATATATATATATATATATCCGAGAGAGAGAGAGAGAATATTGTCTCCTGTGCTATTCATATAATATAAGATAATATATATAATATAATATTATATTATATATTATATAATAATATAATTATATATATTATATATTATTATATTATTATTATATATTATAATATATTATATTATAATATACAATTATAATATAATATAATAATAATATAGTAATATAATATATGGGAGCCCCCGGTGGCGCAGTGGGTTAAAGCACTGAGCTGCTGAGCTTGTTGATCGAAAGGTCGCAGGTTCGATTCTGGGGAGCGGCGTGAGCTTCCGCTGTCAGCCCTAGCTTCTGCCAACCTAGCAGTTCGAAAACATGCAAATGTGAGTAGATCAATAGGTACCGCTCCGGCGGGAAGGTAACGGCGCTCCATGCAGTCATGCCGGCCACATGACCTTGGAGGTGTCTATGGACAACACTGGCTCTTCGGCTTAGAAATGGAGATGAGCACCACACCCCAGAGTCAGACATGACTGGACTTCATGTCAGGGGACAACCTTTACTCTCTCTATATATATAAAAAAATGTATATATATATAATATTAATATAATGTGATGCTATCTACTACTACTACGAATAATATGATATTATAATTATATATTTATATTACATGTAATATTACTAATAATATTATGATATAGTGGTATGGTGCACTATAGCAATATTTAATGCTGATATTGTACTATGCTAATAATGTAATATATTGTATGTAATATATACCTTGTAAGCAACTTGGAGTCCCCTTCGGGGTGAGAAGGGTGGCATATAAATGTTGTAAATAAATAATAATAATAAATAATAAGATAAATAATATCTCCATGATGATGATAATAATAAAAAATAATAGTTGATACAATATTCTTATTAATATGCATTTGTATATCTATTTAGGTTGAGGAAAGGAGGATCTTTTGGGACTGGACCTGCCATTCTTTATTGATATTGATTATTCTTATTGATTATTGGTTATTGAGTCCCCCTAGGGGTGAGAAAAGCGGTATATAAATACTATAAATAAAGAAATATTCCTTGGTATAGCTATTTAAGGATAGTATTATATGAGGGTCTTTCTGTATTGGAGCTGCAAGTATCAATATATTGATAGATAGATAGCCAGATAGATAAGATAGATAGGTGTTTAATTTATATATGTATTTAGACTAGGGATAGGAAGGTCTTTCAGGACTAGACCTGCAACCCGATATATGTTTATATTGATAAGTTATTTATTTTTTTATCGTGTCAGGGGCAACCAGACAATTGTATTACATTTTTAGAAATAGAAATATTGATAAGTGTTTGTATATCTAATTAGTTTGAGGAAAGGAGTGTTGTCCTGCACTGGATCTGCAGACATATATTTATATATATTCGTCTTGATATTGATGTGTGTTTATATATCTATTTAGGGATGGGGGGGGGGGTCTTTCAGGACTGGTCCTGTAACTCCCCATATATGTTTATATTGATATGTGTTTGTATATATCTATTTAGATCGAGGAAAGGCGGGTATTTTGGTTCTGGACCTTCAATTCTTGATTATATGTGTTTGCATATCTATTTGCTTCTGTGTATATATATATATATGTGTGTGTGTGTGTATATATATATATATATATATATTCATATCTGTATGTAAATCTATTTAGATTGAGGAAATGCGGATATTTTGGTTCTGGACCTGCAATTCTTGATTATATGTGTTCGCATATCTATTTTCCTTCTGTGTATGTGTATATATAATATCAATAAGAATGGCAGGTCCAGTACCAAAAGACCCTCCTTTCCTCAACCTAAATAGATATACAAATGCATATTAATAAGAATATTGTATCAATTATTATTATTATTTATT